GTGTTTTTAATCAGCTGATTTCAGGTTTTTACAGCTCAGCTTTTCTGTTTGCTGACAGATGAAATAAAATTGATTGACCTGTTAAACTCACCATTGTCCCTTTTTCCCCCTTTCCATTTATTGTTTAAAAAACCTGCAACTCTTATGTTAGGTAAACTGTTATGGGGGCAGGCGGACCACAGATGACAGCAGGCAGGAAAGAAGGAGGGGAGAACTTATTTCTAGCTGCAGAGTGGGTTGGAAGATGGTTGTTTGATGTTATTTAATGTTTTTTAACATCCTACAGGCTCTGAAATGCAAAATAAAAACGACACTGAGTTTTTGACAAAGGTCAGTAGCGCGATTTGAACGCATTTTTTTTTTTGGTTCATTACACACCCACGCCACGGTGGCAGGTGTGTTGTTCAGATCTATACGCCACTTCATAATTTTACCTGCATTTGGCCAGTGGCGGGTGCTAATTTCCACCCCTGATTGGGACACTCAAATCCGTCCACCACGATAAGGTGGCTGCCCAAGGAGAGGCAAAATGACTCGCATCACTATCAAAGATTAAATGCCTGCTACAGCTGTACATTTATGATGACAAAAATCCATGTTATGGAGACAAATGTCTCAAAAAAACATAAAACTTACCATAAATGGCTCCTTAAAGAATGGAGCTAAATGCAGCCAAGTGCAGAGCATTAGCTGCTCAAATCAAAGAAGTCTGGAACATGCCCCAACACATCCTCCTCCAAGTGCACCTTCAAAGGCAAAATATCAGAAAAGGTTATTCAAGCAAAAAATTACTCGATTGTAATTTTTCACAAACTTTGTCCTGAGAATGAGAGGGATTTCCCACTAGCAGCRAGGATTCCAAGATGTCTGTTTTAAAGGTTTTGAAAAGCTCACTATGAAGAAACTAGGCTCATGTTCATGTGCAACTTTATCAAACACTTACTATTGGGGTTTATCAGTGGTGGGCACCAGCCCGCTAAWGTGCAAATCCACTAATTGCGGACCTAAATATTTCATTTGCATTTTAGCGGTCTTACTAATTTTTATAATTCATAAGCAGATTTGTGCTTTCTAAACTTAAATTGCAGTACCGCTAATAACTAATTATCTACCAGTCATCATTATGTTGAACAGCAGAAGGTACGACTGTCAATGAATCACAACACATGATCTATCCAACAGCACCCCTCCCAGATAAACACACTTATTGTGAAGGTATACATCCTGCTGACTGTTGCTTTGGGTCATGGTTCTCATTTCCCACAATGCTTTGTGTCTGCTTAGTAGTAGGAAGGCAATGTTTAGAACTCCCTTTCCCAGCTAAAACAGTAAACGTTTGTAATCCATACTAAAATTTTGTTTGTATTGATTTATTTTACTTAACAATTGGAGCGCCGTTTCAAAAAAAAATAAAGTTTAAACGCTGGAGCTCAATACTTGACGTAATTGATCGAAGCAATCCACCAACGGGGTTAGAGACACAGAAATGATTTAAAGATGATACGCTGATGAAGACTGACATCTAGTGGTCAACTGGAGCAACTACATGGAAAAATTAAAATCCAAGTTCTTATTTTTATGGGAAGATAGTTTCCTGTACTCTGTGCTTTCGTTTCCCGTCACAAATTAAATCCGTCATGTACCCAGAATGCATCGCTTCAGTTTTCCAATAAACAGTTTTAAAATTACTTTATTGATGTTTTTTAATGAAAAATCTACAACAAACAAAAGAAAAAAACATAGAAGCTGCCGAACTAGCAATCCTCAACAACTTTTTAATTTTTACACCAGGAGCCAAAGGTCTGTTTCAGGAAATCACATCCCCAGCCATCATTGGTTGTAGGATTAAGCTGTAAATGGGTTCATGCACCACTAGTTGTCAGTGTTGTGCATATATTGTACATGGATTGTTGCTGGTTAGTTAGTGTCAAATTGAACTTGCGCTTTAAATTAACTTCTGCTAGTTTTTCTATGGCATAAGCGCTTTTGAGGTTGCAGACCTAAATATTTACATAAGCGCTTTAGAAATAGTAGAGCTAATTTTTGGATTAGCGCTGCCCACCACTGGGGTTTACAGTATAGTAAGTCATTTATAAATAATATTTCTGATAATTTTGACCAAATATTATTTGTTAATTTTAATTTGGGAACATTTTTCTTTTTATGCTTTCCTCATTATTGACACTGTTATTTTCCCCCACACTGGTTTTGAACCCAGGCTGCATCAGAAAAGGGTATCCGACATAAAGCAATGCCAAATCTTTCATTTGCTTGTTATGGTGATCCCTGCAGTTTTCTTGCATGTTAAGTGCATCTGCTCAGTCGTAGGTTTTCCTGTTTTCCAATAACCAAGCTTGAGCTGTGAGCAAGTAATCTAAGTTTGTGTTTATTGATAGTTTATTACTTCCTGGGTCAAATTGATTGAGTACCAGATGTTTGTGGCCAGAATTCACCAGATTAAAAGTGGTTTTGTAAATGTGTTTTACAATGCAACTCAGATGTGAATGACAACCGTCTGTTTCCATTTTTTGTTTACTTAATGCTCCTGTAGGAGCATTCCACAGTATACTGTGGGAAGCAGAAAAAGAGGTTGAACAGCCAGAGGTGGACATCTGCTGAGGAGGATGTGACTGAAGGAGATTTGGGTTTGGGACAAACTGCTCATCTGGACATCTGCACGGGAACAGCTGAAGACAAAGCTTCAGGCAGCACTACACACTCTCCTGAAGGTACTGAAACAATAGCAATTAAAGTTATTATACTCCCRAATCCTTGTGTGCATTTAAATTGGGCCAGGCCTCACATTTTTTGTCAGTAAAATGTATCCTGTGATCCTAGAGAGTTCAGTTGACAACCATCTGACCATGGAGGACCTGATAAGCTACAGTTTTCAGGTTGCCAAAGGAATGGAGTTTCTGTCCTCTCGCAAGGTAAGATTGGTGTGATTGACATGCATGTTCAGTTCAATTCAATTCAATTCAATTCAAAAAAATGTATTCATTTCATTAAAAAATAACTACATAATATATAATACAATACAATATAATACAATAAAGTCCTGATGCATCTCAGTAATCCAGGTAGAAAAAAATCAAAATGAAAAAATAAGTAGGTCCTCTGCATGGGTTCTTCTTTAGTGAAACGTTTCGTCTCTCCTCCAAGAGACTTCTTCAGTCTGATGAGTTTCAGGTGAACTCAGCCTTAAAATCACTGCCTCCACATGGACAAACAGGTTAGTCACATGCAAAAGAGGGCCATCGCTTAACAATAGGCCTGAAGAAGTCTCTTGGACGAGAGATGAAACGTTTCACTAAAGAAGAACCATCCAGAGGACCTACTTATTTTTTCTTTTTGATTTTTTTCTACCTGGATTACTGAGATGCATCAGGACACTTATAAGGCTGAGTTCACCTGAAACTCATCCGACTGAAGAAGTCTCTTGGAGGAGAGATGAAACGTTTCACTAAAGAAGAACCATCCAGAGGACCTACTGATTTTTTCTTTTTGATGAATTCAGGGTATTTTCTGTCAGGTATCCAGTGTCATGACCTCCTGATGGCAAAAGGAAAATTTTCTCTCTTTGAATGGGGTCAGATTGCGTCAAATTGACCCTAACAGTATCTATGTAATATGTACACTCCGGGGTGGGTGGGTTAACTTGCAAATATGTAGCATGAACCATTTACATTTTATATGTAAATTATACCTACACTACTCACAAAAAGTTAGGGATATTTGGCTTTCAGGTGAATTTTATGGAAAATGTAAAAAGTTCACGCTACAG